AGAAAGAAAGAAAGAAAGAAAGAAAGAAAGAAAGAAAGAAAGAAAGACCTGATTAGGTTCTTTCTGAAGTTTGGGTACATTAGAGCCTGGCTCCCCTCAGAAGCCCAAGAGGCTAAGTCTGTGCCCCTCCTCCTCCACTACCATCTAGAATCTCTAACCCTAAGATGCCAGGGCTACCGGATCTCCCCCTCCCCCTCGCTGCCCTGACAGGCAGCTGAGGAAAGAAACTGTGAGGGATGGTCTAGGTGGGCCTGGGTCGTCCAGATGTTGGGGATAGAGGACCGGGCTCCTCAGAGCACTGGGTTGACAATGCTGTTAGGCACACACCAGAGTTCTGATTCAGAGAGGGCTGGGGGTGGGGGTGGGAATGACACGTAGGCCAGGACCCTGCCCCAGCAGTTGGAGCCTCTGAAGTACAGGCCATTCACCCCCTGCTTGCCTCAAGTGACAGGAAGTCCTCACCTTCTCTTTCCTTACCCTTCTCCCTCGAAGGTTCTCCAACCTTAAGGTCACTTACTAAGTAAAGGGTAAATTGAGGAAGGTGACGGGAATATTTTCTGGGTCTAAAAAAACATGAGGTGAGTAACAGAGGGGGATAAGGCAACAGTCTAGTGCTCAGGTGTGGAAGCTGGTACCCTCAGTCAGAGACGCTTCTGCTCCCCCCCCCCCCCCAATACTTCTCTGAGGTCAGAAAGCAACAGGGTCTAAGGAGATTTCTATCGCCTAGAGAATTCATTAAGGACAGCCTGCAAGTTCTGGGGTCCAGGTCCTAAGCAGAAAGTTTGGGACGAGGGGGCGGCTACCTCTGCTGAAGATGGGACTCTCGTAGGGGACTTTGTTCCGAGTCTCCAGGCTGGAACAGTTCCAGCGCTGGTCCCGGAACTGATGCTGGCACTCGTGGATGGCGATCTGGATGCCCTGGATAGCCGAGGCAGCCACGTCAGGGTGACGCACGCAGGCCTCCATCTGCCGCCGGCTCAGGCCGGGCAGTGTCAGGCACACTGTGTTGGCGTTGAGCACAGGCTCTGGGGGTAGGCGGAGGCCCAGGATGTCGTTGGGTGCTGACCTGCGGGCATATGGGGTGGGGTGGATAAGCATTTTGTGGGAGACTGTGAGGGCCTGTTTAATAACACACACTCCGTCCCACAGGCCATAATCATTCTACCCCAACTCCCGGTTCTTAAGGTTGGGCCAAGAATACATGCCTCTCCCCATCCATTCCAGCAAGACCCACCCAGCTGCACACCCAAGGAGGTAAATGCATGCACTTAGTAGTTTGGAGGTTCATCCCCAGGCACAGATGCCTCAAAGGGTGCTCTACCCCGAAGCTGTGTTTCAGCCACCGGCATTTCTTCAGACATGCCTCTGCACACATCATGGTGGATGCAGAAACCCAGAGCACTTACCGCTTACACACCTCATCCAACAGTTACAAACACACAGAGGCACAGTCACGCATACGCTTCTTGTCCGACGTACATTGGCCAACCCGGCTTAGTGGAAACACACACACACACACACACACACACACACACACACACACAGAGCATCGGTCTCTCACTTGACCCCACTTGCGATAGGGAAATCCCCTCCAAACCCTGTTCCTGCTCCTGTCTGGATTTGATCTGGGAAGTGGAACGAGGCCGTTTGAACTTACTCTTGGAATGGGGGTGCCTTGCCCCCAGGGCAGAAAGAACTCCTAACTGGCATTTATTCCCTGAATACCCACCTCCTCCCCTCCCGACCTGGCTACCAACACTCACCTGGGCCCTTCCCTATCCTGGACCTGGACTGCCCATATCCTGTCACCAGGCCAACCTCTTCCTTGGAGGTAGCTCACTATCTTTGATTGGACATCAGCACTTTTCCGTGAACCTGTCTCCTCGCTCACTCCAGGCTCCCTCTCCCAGCAAGAGCACCGGAGTGGGTCCCCGGGGGTCCTAGCTCTCCAAGAGGGCGGAGCATGAGGTGAGGGCTCACCTGGGCACGGCGGCAGCCAGCAGCAGTAGGAAGAACAGGAGCGCCCAGAGCTCAGGCCGCGGCTGGGGCCCGGGTGGGAGCCGCAGCCAGGGGCGAGGGTGGGCGCTGCCCATGGCGCGCGGGCCGTGACAGGCCGGGAGTAGGGGGCTCACAGCCCAGTGGGACTGGCGAGCCAGGGTCGCCGGCGCATGATCGGCAGGGGTGGGGTGGCTGCGACACACAGCTCCTGCTCAGGTCACGGCGCCCGCAGCAGAAGGCGCCCGCCTCCCCGCTCCATGGGGCAGCGCCCCCGGGCACCGCCCTCGGGGGGGGGGGGTGGATGGGGAGCGGGCGAACCGGGCACCTCCTGGCACAGGGGTCCAGGGAATTTCCCGAGGCCCCCTTGCGACAACTCCTGGTGCCTCTAGAGGGTAAGGGGGGCCCCCCGGAGGTACAGCGGGCTGGGGACTGGAGACCGAGGTTCTGGGGAGCGGCCCCCCCCACACACACACACACACAGCGCTGCGCCGCGAGCCTGCGCTTCCGAGGGTGTGCGAGGCGGGCGCGGTGGGGGCGGTACCGTCTGGCCCAGCCCCGCCGCCCGGAGAGTGACTGTCCTGGCTCAGGGAGCTCTGCTCCCCCCCCCTCCATGTGGTGTCTAAGGGTTCTACCCCAACTGACGTCACGACAGGGGGTGGCGTGCTCGCGTCCCCGGGGCCACTGAGTCCGTTTAGGGCTGGCTCGAGGGGAGGGGGAGGAGAGCGCGTGCAGAGGGTGAAGGGGTGAGAGGCGCTGGCGTCTTGACGATTGGCACCTAGAGCTGTGGGGCGCTGGTCTGTGTGTTAACCTGAGTCGTGTGTGCCCCGCTGAAACACTGAGACACAGCTGCACCCCAGCACACACCTGCGGGGCTGGAGGGGAGAGCCCCCTCCGTTTTGCCTTTCCTGCAAAAGGAGGGACTTCCCCCTGCTTGCCCAGGGAGACAGGTGTGTGTGGAGGTCCCAGGAAGGGGTTTAGCAGCCTCTGGCTTTACCCGCTGTTTTGCTCTGTGACCTTCCACAGGGACTCTTGGAGTCATCCTCTGTCCCTTTTATGAAATGAATAATGGAGCCCACCCCATCTAGTCAGCAAAAGGGCCAGGGCTCTAGTAAATGTTTTGAGTTGTTTGTTTTTGTTTTTTTTTGGGGGGGAGGACCTAGGTGCCATGGTATGGCTCTAGCTGGGAGCAGGGATTGGCGAACCTTCTGATTCAGAACTGTGCGTCCAGAACATGTTATTCCGAGCCCCTTCCCCTTGTTTTTGTTTGTTTGTTTGTTTGTTTTTGTTTTGCTTTGTTTTTTGAGACAGGGTTTCTGTCCTGGACTCACTTTGTAAACCAGGCTGGCCTTGAACTCACATAGATCCCTCTGCCCCCGTCCCTGCCCCTGCCCCTGCCTCTGCCTCTGCCTCCCCTAGTGCTGAGATTACAGGCATGAGCCACTGGCCCGGCTCCCCTTCTCTTTTATTTCACAAGGAAGTATGAAGGCCGGGAGACCTTCATGACTTGTATAAGGTCTAAAAGCAAATTAGCCAAAGGACTAAAGTGGATTTAGTTGCCCCGACCCTATTACCACCACACCAGCTGTGTCCCTTACACAGACAGCAGGTTGCTGTTGCCCAGGGATGCTTTGAAATGTGTGGATTCTGGTACTGGTCTTACAGGGGCTGTCTGAATGGTCCTGTGGGGTCCCTTTCTTCTCTCACACGGATGGTTGAACACTGGTCCCTGCTCAGAGTAGAGCAGGAGTCTGTAGACTCAGAGTAAAGCAGAGTAGACCAGGAAAAGGGCCCCAGAATCGGAGGCTCTGCCTTCTGCTTCTGGTTCCAATCTGGGTCCTGACAGTGAGCCCGACTCCTGCTGTGTCCTCGGCATCGTCCTCTGTGAAATGGGCACAAGTCTCCGGCTCTACACACCCACATCCCTCATGTTCAATAGCCCCCCCTCTCTGAAGAGAATCCCTCCTGGCTTCAGAACATAACTGTCATACCCTCTGGGCCCAGAGACAAAAGGGGCCCATTCCAGGAATTGACCATCCTTTGAGAATTGGAGGGGAGGTGCCTTTCTTGCCCCCAGACTGTCAGGTGGCAGGGGTGGGGGTGGTGGCCTGAAGGGCTGCAGGCTGATGACACACTCCTCCTTCCCTCATCTCTGCCGCCGGCAGCCATGGCAGGCAGCTGTCAGGAATTAAGAGCTTGGGGCTGCTGGGGGTTGGGGTGGGACAATGAGGAGCAGTCTGGCTGGCTGGACAGCAGGAAAACAGCCGGGGGCAGGAGCCAGCCTGTGTCGTCGCAGCCTTATTTGACCCTAGCTGCCCCCTGCCCTCCTAACTCTCTCCCACCATGCAGAAACATGGACTACTTCACCCTACAGTAGAGTCCACCCCAACACAGAAAGGAGGCACAAGCTCAGGATAGGCATCTGCAGGCTGGAGAACCAAGTTTTGGTTGACTCTTAGGGAAACTGAGGCCCAGAACAGTTTAGGTATAGACCCTACCCAAACCTAGGCAATGCGGCCTTACACAAAGTGCAAACCCCCTTGCTCCCCAGGCAGTGTTCACCTGAATGATTACCACTTGAAGCAACACATGCATCCCCTGGGGTAGAGCATTGTGGGAATGCTGATTCTTGGTCCTGAGACACTGGATCAGGGAATCTGCATTTCTATCCAGCTCCCAAATGTCTGGGGGAGATTACCTTCACTGTTGACCTGGCAGAGTAGTTGTTTATGTCTCCTTTTGGGCTCCTTCTGGGGAGGGAGAAGAAGGGTCTCTACTGCAGGACTCATGCTATTCATGAGACACAGAAGTGCACCGGACCTAGCAGGATTTTTTCCCTCTTTGGAAACTCTAGAAGGCAAATACTGATGCCTAGAGCCTAAGCCCCCATCCTGGGTCTAGCCCCTAGCAATGCCCAAGTGTTTAAGTGACAAATTTTGGCCTCTGTGTAGACGAAGCCCAAAGACAGGACACATCTAGGGCCTAACCTGGATGGCCCATGTCCTGGCCAAACCTCTATGAGCACCAGCAGCCCCCAGTCTCCACCTCAGACCTGCCCTGGGCCCTGGACCTCAGCCCAGCCCCAGCCCCCGCAGCCGCCTGCCAGAGACCACAATTACAGGGGCCACTGAGGGTGGGGGTGGGAAGCTAGGAGGATGAAAGGCAGCCAGAGAATGGTTCCAGCTGTGGCAGCTCTGGGGGAGGTCTCCTGGAGGGAGGGCCGGCTGGAGGAGGCACAGGGTGAGAACAGGTGGGACCCTCATAGCCCCAGCCCAGCCCAGTCTAGTCCTGCTCTGTCTTGATGTTCGGCCGGTGGAGTTGGTCTCGGTGAAGAAGCGAGGGAAGATGCTCTAGATGGAGAAGGGGTCCCTCCATCCTGCTGTGCCTGCCTCAGCAAGGTAAGAAGCAGCTCGATCCTTTCACAGCCTAATGTGTAGGTCTCAAAGGGAAAGAGAGATGAGTTGGAAGCCCTTGGCCTCGGACTCATGCTAGGCGCCCCACTCGGCCTCCTAACCCGTCTGCCTGGGTTCAGCTTTTTTCCTAATGCAGACACACACACACACACACACACACACACATCTGGGGTGCCTCTGTGCTCTTCCCCTTTGCCCAAGTACCACATGTTTCCCACCCCTCGGCCAGCAGGGGACCTTGCCTGCGCCTCGGGGCTGAGCAGCTGGGTAAGGCAGGGGAGGGGAAGTTAGGGGGCACCTCTGAGCGCCGTCTCTCACTCCATCCTCAGGCAGCAGCACAAGACCGCTGAGCAGAACCATTAAAAGAGGAGTAGGCTCCTGACCTCCACCCACGCCTCCTGTTCGGCATTATCACCCCTCAAGTTAGGGAGTTCCCAGGCCCTTCTGGGACTGGGTAGTAGAAGGCGGAGGGCTGCTATGTGACTAGCAAGTCAGCTGCAGTTGAGCTGGGCATGGCGACACACACTTCTAATCCCTGCCGAGGGAGGCAGAGCCAGGCAGATCTCTGAGTTTGAAGCTAGCCTGAACTACAGAAAGAGTTCCAGGACAGCCAGGGCTACACAGGGAAACCCTTTCTTAAACCCCTCTCCACAAAGACTGTAGTCTGCGGTGTGACCTTACCACAAGCTCTCGGCCTAATTTTTGTGATGGGGTCATTGGGCCAGACAGGTTAGTTGCTTAGCCGACTTAACCACGGCCTTTTATTTTTTTTTAACCTACATCTTGCCTTCTTTTTGAAATGCCTGGAGTGGTGTCAGTTCATATCACTTGTTCCGTTCTGCTTTTCATAGAGGATGATACCCATCTCATCCCATCTCAATTCAGAACACCCTACCAGGACCAGGCCATGGTAGACACACATAACCTGGAGCCCCAGTCTTAGGTCTGGTCAGTCTAGAGGTCCCAGACATCCTGAAACCTGAGCGGTTTGACCCAAGCTGTCCATGGGTCTCTCTGCTTCCTGTAGTCCACTGGAGCTCCCTGCTCTTGGATTCCCAAGAGGTCCTGCTCCTCTTGCAGCCATCGATCAATAGACAAGTTGGACTCTGAACGCCCTCTGGTGGTCTATTTGAGAAGCACAAGAGTTTGAAAAAGCGCTGGGCTAGTAGGGCATTGTTAGCTCCTGGGTGACTTGCACAGCCTGCACTGGGCTTTGGGTCTGCACTGGGGCAGGGAAAGGAAGGGGGGGTGGGAGGAGAGAGGGAATGGAGAACAGAGGGAGGGGATGAGAGGGGAGGCACAGCAGCACCCCTCCAAGCTCTGGGAAAGGCAGATCTGTAACTATAAACCCTCAGAGTTTTCTTCTCCTCTGTGAGCCCCTTAATGCCATTTCTACACACATTCGCTTTCTCGAAAAGTTAGAGTCTGCTTCGGTCAGGAGGTGCTGAGTTCAAATTCCCCACGAGGTTGCCCCGAAACTCAGGCATTAGATGGAAGAGAGACAGGAAGGA